GAGGTTGTTGGGATCACTGGGGGCTGATGGGTCTGCAGGGGAAGTTGCTGGATTCATGGGGGTGGGGGGGCACGTTATTCATCAGGAGTGTAGAGGGTGTCCATCAGGGGTGCTCCTGTACCCAGGCCTGCATATTGGATTAGGGCCAAGAAAGGTCTGCAACTCAGGTGATCATACCCACTAAGGGATGCTAGGGGCCAACGCTGAAGCCTCTAGGGCTGGGGCCCTTGCATCACTGAGAGGTGAACCTAACCAGGGTCCTTATCAGTTTGTTGTTTTGTTAAGGGAGGATGGACCCTGTGTGAAGAGGAAGAAACTCCACCTCCCTCTAGAACCAAGTATGTTGCAGTGGGAGAACTCCACCTGCAAGCTGCAAGTCCAAGAAGACTGAGAGACTTACCTGAGTTCCAAGTTGCCTGTTTTGTGTTACTTTTTAGTTCCTCTCACATGCACGATGCCCCGACAGGGTGACTGTTAGGGCCAAGGTGGCTCTCATACCTTGGAGACAGGCTCAAGGCAACCATGAGTGCACAAGTTCAAGGAAAAGAAAAACATCGCCCATTTAGACCCAAGGACAAAATTGATGCTGTAACATCTGGGTGGCACATGTACAGGGTGTACGGGAGGTTGGATCCACAAAAGAAGAACCAAGCCCAGTGCATCCAAGTCAATCTGCTGTGGAACTGACCACCTCCTGATAAAGTATCATTCAACATCAAGTCATGGCAGGAGAGAATCGGGTGACCTCTGTGGAGTGGCTAGATTGGATGAGCCTGTGTCCCCATGGCCGGGGCCCACAGCGTTATCCTGTACTGTGGCGATACTAACCTCCCTGTCAGTACAGATTGGTACTTAGATTGGCTTAATTATACTTAGGTTGATCAAAGTGTAACATCAGTATATATCCTTACTGTGTTGGATTTGAGTGAAATATGTCACTGGGGTTGTACAAAGCAGCTTAGGAGTTGGTGTATGATCTACTTTTCAATTCACAGGGGAGCAAGTCAGAGTGTGGCATGATGAAGGGCAATCAGATATGAGATTGTGCACTTTAGATATCTGGCAGAATGCAAACAGATTACACACAGAAGCTCCTTACTGCCAAATATGTAATTTACACACAGTTTTTTAGATACATTTCAGGTAGTAAAATTGATATCATCAGTTTACTCCAGGAAACAGGCCTCCTACATAAACCAGGATAAGGGTTTTAAAAATATTTTTAATATAATTGAAAATTATTCTAGGAAAATCAATACAATCAACAATCATAATATAAAGGAGGAAGTCCCTTGGCCAGTAGCTTAATTAATAAAAGGCCAGATTTATTCCTGGCATAGAACTATTGATGTCATTAATGCACATTAATTCAATTATATCAGGAATGAATTTGTTATAAAATATTTACCTGAGCACAATTTTGGGAGTTAGGTTATACATAGACAGATTTTCCAAGGCAATGTACTGTCCCTACTGCCAATGAAAAACAATGTAGAATGAGGGTTCTGTATCTATCTCTCCTACCAACTTGGTAATTTAGTCTTAAAAGATTTGAAGTTTTGACCAAAACACCCGTGATTTTCATGGATAACATACTATTTTAATATGTACAAACCAAGAAAAACTTAAATCAAAAGGAATAAGGTGGAATTCTTCACAGTACTTCTGCTTTTGATAATATAAATGAGGATGGATTTGCAATTATGTTAGTGCAAGCACATATATAAAAATTACTGTATGTCATATTGAGATTGAGATTAATCAAGATTACCTTGTTTGCATGGCATAGTTTAAATGTCCACTGCACACAATGCAAATGAGCTTTTACTTCAGCATGTAAAATAATTGACACGTATTAGATAGTAGGAAGACTACTAGTAAAGGTAATCTGACTTCTGTGGCAGTTAAATTGAATTTACTGTATCTAAAATGTACAGTGTATTTAAATTGAATTTTTTTATTGGTTATAATTAATGCAAGTTTATGGTGCATAAAGCTCTTTTTCCATAAGAGTTACCACAAAAATGTCTTGTATAACCTAATTCTAACCCTAAATACAATACAGTAAAATTGTTAAAGACAATATTAGTGTGCGGGCCGCCTCCTGATCCCATCCATGTCACCATGTGTGGGCCGGGAGCGATATGCGGACCCGTCTTTGCGCATGCGGGCTGTGGCCAGCAGCCCGGACACGTGGGGTCAGAGGAGACCGTGCGGCGGCAAAGCACGCACAGGCTAGAATTAGTCACAGAGGTGTAGTGGTTGATTTAAAGATTGTTTACTTACACCAAAGATGGTCGCGGTGCAGGCAGGAAAACTTGCTTGAGTTACAGTTGCAGATAGAAAAGATAAGAGGCGGACTAGAGTTCCTTCCCGTGAACACTCTTCTAGTCCATCCGGTTGGAGGCTCTAAACTGCGAGCCCGTCGCGCCAACCGAAGAAAGTACTCGAGACAAAGAGCTCTGAATAAACTCACACGAAGTTTGCTAGGCTCCGTGGGTCCTTGTGCGCGCAGGGAAGAGGGATACGTCGAGGATTGCGCTCGGTGACGGGGAAAGGCTAGAGGCTGATCATCCCCCTGTTGCCTGCTTTAAGTGCGCTGGGTCCGATAGGCTCTGCAGCGCTTAGAGATCTTCACGAGACATGAAGTCTCCTCCTCCTGGTGTTCGTGGAGTCCTCCCTTGCGGGGGTTCTCCTCGGAGTTCTCCAACTTGGGCGGAAACTCCCCAAGCCTCTTATACGGCTAGCAAGCCAATCGCTAGCCGCCACGTGTGCATAATTTAACACAAGCCAATAATGGGGCTCGAATTAAAATACAAATGGCGGGAACTCTTTGCACCAAGCATTTCTTAGATGCAAAAAGAAATGCACCATGCAAAGAAAGCTACAAATTGGTGGGAAATTCTCCCTTGCACCGGGGTTCTCCTTTAGAGCAGAAAACTCCACCGTGCAAAGAAGCTGTAATTTAGCGGGAAAATAATTCAGTGGTGCCAAAGCACACACAAAAACAAAAATCACAACTTTGGGTTGTGACAATTAGAACAATATTTTCTATTTTATAATGATGAGAAAAATGAAAGTGCATGCCAGAGCTTTCTTGTTTTTTTTTTGATGTTTATCAGGTTTTCTTCAAGGAATGTAGGATCAGGTTCTACTTGGATACAGGAACAGCTCAGATATATTTATATACAGGAGTTTCTATTTTCACATTTTTAAAATTTCTTAGCTAGTTACATAGAGTGAAGAAAAACCATGAGTTAGAATACAACTGGACAAGTTGTCATTTCCTATTTTGAACCACTGCAACTACTCTAACTTCAACATAGCTCCCCTAGATTTAAATCAATATAAATAGGAAAAATTAAGGCCTAATCCATTTTAGAAAATGCTAGCTGCACATACAGCTTTTACTGACCCCAAACTTTGTGTTATTTTCAGCAGGCTTTGGAGTTGACTGTATTGTAACTTTGCAGTCATCTGTGATCTTTCACAGTTGAGGATGATCACTCCAACGGGTCCAGTAGAAGGTTGTAATTGAGTCTGTTGATGGCTAAGAAGACTGATCCTATAGCCACAGACTCTGGCAAATGCCACAGGTGGTGGTTAAAGGGAGGGTCAGACCATAATTTTCTCGGTCCTGTTTTCTTTTCTTCCATTTATGTTGTTTTTCTGTCTCCAGAGTGAGACAGATGTCCTCAAAGTAAGATGTACCTTCTCTCACAAGGCATCACCATGTAGCTCTGTCCCAGGGTAGTTTTTCCCAATTTGTGATGTCAGTGGCACACCTAATGTTCACCCTGAAGCATTTCCTCTGGCCCCGATACGGCTTTGTCCTTGGCTGAGTTAGGAGTACAGCAGCTATTTTGGTAAATGTACATCAGACATGCACACACAGTTCCCTATCCACTGCAGCTGATGGTGTTAGCATTGGTGATGTCTTGGCATTTGTATGATGATCCTCCTACTTTATGCCAAGGATCTTCTGGAAGTAGCACTGGTAATGGTGTTCTAGGCTTTGCAGGTGGTCCCTGTAGTTCACCCAAGCTTCATAGGGAAGAGTTGGGCTTACCACAGCCTTATGTAACAGGAGCTTTGTTTGAGTCCTGATGTCATGATCATTGAACACACAATGATAGTCTTCCAAAGGCAGAGCTGGCACATTGGATTCTATACTGAATCTCCTTGCCAATGTTGGCCTTCTTTGGGAGATGGCTGCTGAGCTATGCAATTTGTTCAGCATTTTCCAGTTCCTGTCCATTGTTGGGGATATTTGCCAGGGGAGTTGATTGGCCTGGAGCAGGCTAGTGAAACACCTTTGTTTTTCTGATGTTAAGAGTTAGTCCCAGCACTGTACTATAGAGTACAGTAGGTCCAGATGTAGCATATGGAATAATAATTATTGCAAATGTCAGCTGCTTTATCACAGCACTATTATTCATATTAAATATTAGTAGTAAATTATTATTGAATTGCCATTATTAGTAGTATTAGTGAATTACTGTTAGTTCAATTGAAGATTGAATCATGTTCCATTTATATACAAATAATAATTAGAACATTATCCAATGTTCTGATTTTCTTAGAGTTCTGTTGTGAGTTTCTAGGCAGTGGACACTGTTTATGTTTTCAGTCTGTGCAGCATCTCGTACTTTGGGAGTCTTGTACCTGGTTCAGGTCTCATAAGAAGTATCTAGGTTGCACAACACAGTGCTGTGCAGAGTGCCCAAGCTAGTACTGTCTGAGCTAACTTGTATGCTTAAAGCAGCACAGCCCCCTAAGTACTCAAAAAAAAGGAAAGGTACTCAAAATATTAGCTATATTAGCCACACTAATTCAGCTAATTGCTTTGGTGCCCAAACTAGGTTATTCAGAGCTAGCTTGGACATCTCTGCATGGCATGGCACTGCATTGTTCCATGAAGATTTCGTCAACGGGTCCTTAGTCACTAATGCAAGAGAAGTAATCATAATTATTATTATTTCTGGGTTTCCTCTGAACAGGTTATGGGGAATCCTGATTTTATTGCTCGGCCCAGCAATCTGAAAGCACAGAAAAGTATGAAGCATTGTCACTAGGGGTAAGTATGGACATTCGGGGGTGTTAAGGGGAGGTTAAATCAATTCAAAATGGCTGCGCAATGTCATGTAAATCAGGATGGAGGGGACTAGCAGGGAGGTTGGGGGCCCACTGGGGGATGGTGGGAGGTGTGACCCATGGGTGGGATGAGGTCCCTCACAGTGAACCTACAACCCCATCCCTCCTGCCCCTTCCCCCACTGGGACTTACTTGCTTGGCTCCAGCAGTGGTGGATGCTGATAAAAGTGGCTGCACCCCAAGCGCTTATGGGATGGGGGTTGAGAGCGGGGTTGAGAGGGCTGGCTGGGGGCCTGGAGAGAGTAAGGGGCTGGGAGAGGCGAAAAATAGCCCAGTGTAGGGTGGGGGGTAAAAAGAGCAGCCCCAGGGCTGGGGCCAGTGGCTGGGATTTCTCAGTCCCAGGGCTGTACTTAGCGCAAAGAACGGGAGTACATATTTGAAGCTGTGAATAACTTGGTTCTGTGCTGGATGGTTGTGGTCTGCTTAGGGATGTGAAGAGAAGGAACCTCTCTTAATGGTTAATCATCAGTTATTTAAACTGAAATGCATGAACAGACAAAAGTCATAAGGATAACAGGTACAGTTTGATCCTTTTAGCTGTTATTAAGAGGGTGTATAACACTGATGCCAATGTAATTCGATGACTAAATGTGTGTGATCATGCCTTCCTCTAGTGCAAGGCTGTTCACATGCTAAATGGTAGGGGCCTGCACACCCTGTGGGCCACACCACCAGGTTCCAAACACTCTGGGCTGCATTGGCGTAGGCCATGGCTCCACCAGGCAACAGTGTATGCAGGCACCCTGGACTCTCCTGCAACTCCTCAGGCTCAGACTCCCCTGTTGCACTGCACTGAATAGGTGCCCCAGGCCATGGACTCCCCCTGGTATCATGGGCTATGCCAGGTCACCCTGCCGTCTGAGTCCAGGGCAGGAAGTGGAAGCCAGAAGAGGAAAAGGGAGCCCAGAGACAACAGCTGTTGCTGCAGCCAGAGCAGTGGGGGTAGGGGCAGCCAAGTGAAAGTATGAGAGCTGGAAATTAACCCCTCACAGGCCACATGCAGCCTGTGGACTGCCAGTTGCATAGCCCTGCTTTAGTAGTTTTAGTGAAGAAAAAAGCCTACTACTTACTGTTAGTCAACAGAAGCACTCCTTTAATTTAAGTGATAGTGGTTTGTGGTTTTAGTGCCAAAATCTCATTACACAGAAGGCTGTGGTAAATGTGTTAAGTATAAAACTGATTTTGTCAATACATGAAACTTATCTGAAATTTCTAAGGAATGTTTGCTTCAACCACAGTTTTGTAGTATCCATGCTGTCTTCAAGATGGGTGTAGTAGACAACATAAAATTAATTGTTCTGGAATTGGCTTCTCAGTGACAAGGACTTCTACATCCCCAGGAGAAAAGATTGATTAATACAGTTCTGGGTTTGATGTGTATTCACCAGTGGAAGGCTTGTTTATAGAATAAGAGTGTCTTCTAAGAATTTTGAAATAACATGAGAAATCTTACCTTGGGTTTTAATATCTTACATTACGTTCATGATTAAAAGAAATTTGGAAGGAAAATTATTGTTTTATATGAATATTTAACATCTTATTTTTTCAGGGAAAACAGGGTGCAGTTAATGCTTGATGATACGAGGCTGGTGATACGAGTTACAAGTCCCTAGCATGCAATTTCTCTTTTTTCAGGTATAAAACATATGAATGTTTAATTAACAGCGCCTTTCAAGCTGGAAAAATAAACATTTAAATGAGATCCTTTCCCCACAGGCTACCACAACCGTAAGTTACAGACAAATGAAAACTTGATGAAGGATCTATGACAGTACCCATTCCACTCCCCTCCACTGACCTCCATCTATCATGAATGCAACTGGTCTGTATCATGGCAAGCAACCTCTGTGACTGCCAGTATTGTTAATAAATCACATAGTCCTAAAGGTATGAACTCCCTACAAATGCTGTTGTAATTCTTGACGTTCAAGTAGTCTCTCACTTCAGACTTGCAGTAGATTTGAACAAAGTTCACTCATGGTGGCGGTAGGTTCTTAAATCAAGAAGAAATGTGTGCCTTTAGAGAGGAAAAAATCAGAAGCAAACGTATTGTTTCTTTATTCTCAGGGCAAAATGCCTCCTTTGTACTGCTGTCTAATAAGTGGAGAAACCCACTACTGTCATGAAAAGCATATGACAGATATCTCTCATGCATATAGGAACAGAAGGATTTCTGAAAAGGGCATTACTTCTGGTTTCTGTGAAGTAGTTAACTCATGTAAATAATTAGTAGTAGATACTACTGCTGTGCGAAGTCTGCTTTGAGGTCTGTTTTTGCACAAATGACTAGGTCTGTGAGGGAGTATGGCTAAGGCATTATTCCCTGAGGATATTCTATGTTGGTTCTGCCTCTTTCATGTTATCCACCATACAATTTACACAGAGACAATATTCAGTAATGCCCAGCTTTTCTTTCCCACCGTGTAGCAGCTGTATGTCTGTGTAGTGTTTCCACTGGTGAGATATACCACAGCATTTGCTTCTTTGCTGCTAGATGGTTAACATCAATGAACAATGAGATCAGCCTCTGGTCCAAAATAGCTGTGGTCCAATATAAGTACTAATCCTACGCAGTACTTTTGATAGGCAGAACTGAGGGTCTACACAGCAGAATACAATGATCCTCATTGATCATGGCTTATTCAGAGCTAAGTTCAGGTACACTACAGTATACCATATAGACATACCTAAAACATTTAGCATAAAGAACCGTGAGTTTAATAGCTCAATCCATTTCTAATGACAAGCTTGTTTAATGTTCTGAAGAGGCTTCCCATATGAAATGGGAGCTACTTTTGCACCGAGAATGATTGCAGAGTTGCTTGTGACAGTACCTGGTACCTTTTGAGGCTAAGTACAGACATTCAAAAAGCCCGAGCCTGAATTGATTCAATCTTTGCAGGTTAGTCTAACCTGTGTAGATTGAATCAATTTGCAAGTGAATAAACATTCACTTTTGATTCCAGAAATGCAGGCACATTCAGTCCAGAAGCCAGGGGGTGCTAGACTGAGCCCTCCCTTCCCTTCTGCAGTGGCTAGGGAAGATGAGCTGGGGGGACGGTGGGGTGCATGGCCAGGCTCTGGCAGGCCTGAGTCTGATTGGGGAGGGGTTTAAAACCCCACCCCAGCCTGCAGGGACCCCAGCCCATGTGTGCCTGGAGGAGGAGGGGGGAAGCAGCCCTTGCCAGGCTTTTTGGATGGGGAGGGGAGAGGGAGTGTAGCCAGACCATGGCTCCCAGCTGGCACCAAGCAGTGAGAGCAGGGACATGTCCAGACCTGACCTCTGCTGGTGGCAGGGGAGGAGGAGGAAGGGGAGAGCCATGCCTACTGCAGTGGCTTCCTAACATCCCAGCCCAGCCTGGGCGTGGGGAGCTGGGAGCACAGGTTTACCTTCCTACCTCACAGCAGGGCCCAGTGCTGTGCCCCTCCAGCCCTGAGCCCCGAGGCAGTGCTGCACAAAGCCATAGGCAACAAAAGGCCAGGGCTAACGGAGCTTAGCTGCCCCCAAACTGAGCCAGCAACAGCGGCTCCAGCACCACTGTTGTTGCAGCACCACACCCAGTGCCCCTGCCATGTGCTCCTCTGCTGCCATGCACACAGCACCAGTGTGTGCCTGCACTAGAATGACTCTGGGGGAGGGAGGGCTGGGGTCAGGCAGGTGCGCTCCACACCACCCAGACCCCCCAAATAATATTTTCTATTGCTGCTTATGCACAGAGCTTCCCCCCTCTCCGGCCCCATGGCAGGGGAGTAGAAGGAGGGGAAGAGCCCTGCCCACCTCAGCAGCTCCCTGACAGCCTGGGCCAGCCTGGGTGTGGGGAACTGGGAGCAATCTGGGTACAGAGCTACTGTGGCCCCAGCCCGAGCTGCATCTGACTGGGAAGGGCCCAGCCCCTCTGCACCCACCCTCAGCAGTGCCCATAGGCTGGCCTGGTTCAGCCCCAGTCCCAGCCCCAGCTTCCCCAGCCCAGGTGAGGCAGATGGATGGTGGGGCTGGGCCAGCCCATAGCAGCAGGACCCTTCCCACAACTGCGGCTCAGGCTGGGGCCATGGGAACTGTCTATCGGTATTGCTCCTGGCTCCCTGCACCCAGGCCAGGCCAGGACAGGCTGTCATAGAACCACAGCCAGCTGGGAAGGGCCCTGCCCCCATGGTCTGGGCTGGGTCCTCCACATTTTCCCTCAGCATCTCCTGCAGCCAGGCCTACTCAGCCCCAGCCAAGGCAGGTGGATAGCAGGACCAGCCCACTGCCCAGCTGGCTGAAGCTGCATGACAGCCCAGCCCAGCATGTACAAGCAGTGGCTGGCTGGGCAGTGGTGTGGAGGCAACAGTGTTGCAGGTGCAGGTGGGCATCTTGGCAGCTGGACTGGCCATGTAGGATGTGTTAATCATGCCCGTGCCTGCCTGGTCTGACTCAGAAGTGCTGGTGGCCCTTGAGCCTGGAAGTCACCCACTGCAGGGTCTTGTGTGTCCACAGCCACTGCCACCAACATGCCCCCTGCATGGTGCCAATGAGCAAGTACCATGCAGGGGATGCGGCAGCAGTGGCTGCAGACACACAAGTCCCCGTGGTAGGCAGATGCTGGGCTCCGGGCCTGCTGGTACCACTGAACTGACACAGGTAGCTGTGGGCATGATTATGACAGTCCATGTGGCCAGTCTAACTCCCCAGGTACCTGTCTGCAGCTGCAGCTGTAGCGGCATTGCCTCCATGCTGCTGCCTGGCCAGCCGCCGCCTGTGCGCACTGGGTTGGACTGTCACGGAGCTGCAGCCAGATGGGAAGGGTCCTGTCCCTGTGGCCCAGCCTGGGCTCACCCCACTGTCCACCTGCCTTGGCTAGGGCTGAGGCAGGTGGATAGCAGGGCTATGCTGGCTAGCTGGCTCTGACCATGCCATCACCCTTGCCCCTGCTGCTGTAGCAGCGAGGAGGGAGGTTACCCTGACAGGGGCTGCTCCGCCCGGGCCAGTCAGACCCTGGCTTTGGTCCCTGGGGAGAAGGGGAGGGAGGGGGTGAATATACCCTGCCCCCTTAGCTTCAGGAGGCCATGCGGGGCTGGCATCTGCCCTCTCTCTCCTCCCTGCCATTTCGGCAAGAGAGCAGAGGGGTGGGTCTAGACCAGCTGTCTGTTGCAGGCAGCACAACCCAGCCCAGGGCTGAAAAGCATGCTGGGATGCTGGGGGACTCTGGTAACCAAGAAGGGGTCTTGGACAGAAGTTCCATAAATTGGTTTGACCCAAATCAGTTAAGTCTAATACTACATTCAACTAAGTTTATCTTAAACCAGTGTCAGTCATTTTGAAACTGGTTTATGTGCACTGAACTTATGTTCTGTTACAGGTTTAAACCAGTTTCTGATCGCTTAAACTGCTTTATGTGTAACTTCTGTCCCGAGCCTGACTTTTTGATCCTCTTTCATTTATGTTGTTACACTTCAAGGGCACTACTGTAGAGAAAGACAGCAGCCTTTTCAATGCCCTTGTCCTGTCAGCACAGACTGTCACTTCCATATTTCTTTGCCTCTTTGAAAATGACAGACACCTTCCCTCTCAGAATACTAGCAAGCTAAGCCCTAAAACCAACCAATCAATCACATGCAATTTAGCCAATTTAATACAATAAATATTTATTGGCATTTAACAAAACAGAGAAGATGGAGGAAATGTATTAAAAAAGAGGATATTCTCAAAGGCAGGTAAGGCACCTGAATTCTATTTACTGTCAATGGAATTCAGGGCTATCTGTGCTTTTTAAATCCTGCTCAAGTGCATCATTATAGAAACTAGTAAAACGTCCCTAATGCAGACCTAGGAGAAGATCCCAATCCATTGCAGTCAATAGGATATTTTTAACAGAAGTTCAATAGAAGAACATATTTTTTTCAAAGCAATATTACTTGTCAGTCTCTAAACAGAAAGCTGTTTCTTCAATGTGTCTTGTCCTTGAACATTGCCACGAATGTATAACCACTTAAAAAACTAATCAAGTTCAAGGACTGAATGCCAAGATGATGAACTAATGTTGAGTTCAAACTTCTCTGCTTTTTAAAGCCAAATATCTATTTTCACATTCATACCTATTCACATTGATTAGCCATAATGTCTTTCTAGATTTGCAATTCTAAATCTTTTAACACATGCGTGCCTAAATTTATGCAGTTGACTAAACCAGTTGTCAATGGAACTAATTATGTACAGTAAGTTAAAATGTGTGTAAAATGTATGGAATGAGGGCCTCTATATTTAGTCCTTTATAAAATTGCCAAAATTACTTTGCCAACTGTTCCTCCTGTTCCTAATATCAGCCCTGTCAGCATTGGCAGCAGTGGGAGTCCTAGTGGAGACGAGACTCAGCAGGCTGCTATGATTTTTAATAGCATCATTAAGTTTCTGGGTGGAGTTAGATCATAGTGTTAAAAAATACCAGTGGCTTTGCAGGGCCCTATTGACACTAATGTTCCAGCTGTAGTAACCACTAGTGAAACTTTGCCAGTGATATCAGCAGTAGGAAATGTTGGTCCCAAAATGCAACTGCAGAAAAGTCCTTTGTATAGCTCAGAGTTACACCTCCCCTTCTCCTAGTACAGCTGGATAAACAGAGTTAATTCTAATGTCTCTTGTTACCCAAATCCCATTCCATATGTCCTAATTAACCCTGTCTTATTTCTGTTAACACCTTCCTTTTAGTATTTCTGGCATGCTGAATAAACAGTATTCATGCATAAAGTTCTATTAACATGTAAATGACTAAGTTACACTTTTTTGTTGTACTTCATTAGTATGTAAAAGATGCAGTTCTCTATGGGAGGTCACTTATACAAATCTTAGTACAATT